TTCCCTTGCTTTGTTATATTTACTTTATACTTTATGTGTGTGGTTACTTGGAGGTAGAGTCTGGTGAACTTTGCTTCCTGGGATGACTTTGAACCACAATCATCAAATCTCATCTTCCTGAGGAGCTACGATTATAGGTGGAAGCCACCTTCACCTGGCCTATTTCCTTTTCTTGTTATTGTAAAGGTAATGTACAGAGGGGTTACAGTTACATAAGTCAGGAGAAGTGTACATTTCTTTTTTGGATAATGTCACCCCTTCCTTCTCTCCCCCAGTTTTTCCCCTGACTCCATCTACAAGTTGTGTAGTGCATTTCCCACAGTGTCTAGTGGCTATCACTGCCGCATTTCTTTACCTTTTGTATTTCAAGTACAAATAGTGATTGTGTTGCTGATTGTACAGTTATTAATTAATGATAATATAAATCGGGATTAAAAATACAAGCATGTTCCCTGGAACATTCTTCTTCTTCTTTCTAGGTATTTAAGAAAGACTCATGAAGAGACTGGATTGCGAGGGCAATTTCCACATTCCTCTCTGAAGCTTAGGTTCTTTTATCTTTTCTTTGTGCTTCAGTTTCCTTATCTGAAAAATAGATTGAAGAATGGTGTACGCTGTAAAATGTTGACATAATTGCATGATAAATAGCCCCCCCCAAAGCGGTTGCTATAGACTAAACATGAGCTATTACTGTCCTTCCTTGCCTTTCTCATCAGCACCAGTCTAGTTCAGAGTACCCGTTACGGCACCTTCGATGACTTCAGTGGTCTACAATCAATTTCTCCAGGTTACAGGGTCTCCTTGCCACAACTGAATCCAACCACTACATGGTCACTGGACCCGTGGAGCTGAAGAGAAGACAAACCCCTCCCCCAATTCCACACACATAGACAAGTAGATTGACAAATACCAGGCCTAATTTCACTACACTTTCCAAAACTAATCCCAAATGTTTTATTGTGATCCATATTTCTAACCCATCTCATTCAAAACAGAACTCTTCAAATGTGAAAACTGTTTTCCTCCTTCTTGCTTGCTAAGCTAGCAAATTCTTCCACAAATGTTTGCCTTCCTTACCTCTTGCCTCTACTCAGCTGTAGGTGTCGTCAGAAGATGCATCCCACAATAGTCCTTTGCCCCTCACTGTGCTGTTACTATGGTTGCAGGTACTTGGGCCTGGTCAGGGTCTATTTATTTATCTTCCACTTCCTTTTTATTCTTAGGTGATGATGAAAATGAAAGTTAGTTTTTCCTTTGGCATCACCAACTTGCCCTTTGTTGGAATTCATCCTTCAGTGTGTGGGTTCGTTCCGGTGACCCTTCAGAGCTCATAGTACAATTCAATTGCCATTGTAATAATCTGAGGAGGTGAGATCTCAGCTTTAGGTCCCAAGGGCTCTGTCCTCAAGAGTAGGCTAAGATGGTTGTTTGGGGTGTGGCGTGTTACCTCAGTACAGGATGTTTTTGTGAGTCTGACCTTCATTACTTGCTCTCCACCTTTTTGGGAGCTATTGCTGTCCTTTCTTGCCTCTTTCATTGACAACAGTCTAGTCCAGATGCTTTTGTCACCCACCATGCCACGATGCCGCAGGACAACCCTTACCAGATGTCACTCTCCAAACCTGTAATCCAGGCAACTTTCATTCCTTACAACTTAGTCTGCAGTTGTGCTATAGCAACAGAAAATGAAATATGGTCGCATACCAAACCATGCATATGTATTTTCCATGTGCACTATGTCTTCCTTTTGCTTCCTGGATAGGAAAATACCCCTGAAGTTGTTTATAGTCACAGCTAGAATCCTGCTCCCCTTTCTGTTTTCTTCGACCCATTTACTGTATCAGTCCACCAGTCCTCCTTGAGGAAGCCACTGGTGAAAATCCTTTCAAGGCTTTCTATCTTATTCAAAAGAAAAGCCAAAGCACTTTTAACCGTTAGGAGGTCAGGTCTTAATACTTTTCAGAATGGAATATCAATCTTACTTGGGAGATAATGCTGCTTTATTAATGATTAGGATGTTTGTTATTTCTTTAAACATTTTTGGTGAGAGTTAGAAAATCTAACTCTTCCATTCTTGTATCCTGGTAAAGTACATGGTTCAGGAGGTATGTCTGTGGGGGAACAACTAAATTTCCCAGCTGCTCTTACAAATAACCTTGGCTTTTGTAGAATGTTGCAGTTAAGGAGATGTTGGTATAAGATGATGAGTTCAAAGAGAACCAGTATGTACTTTTGCCCTTTTCCATGTTCTTTCCTTCATGGATGCCTGGAATTTCGATATAATGGTTGGAACCTTAGCTGTGAATGTGGGCTATGAGGATAAGAGGTGGGTGGGAAAGATGTAATTTCCTAGGACTTCCAGTAACATCAGGCCAAATTTTGATATTTTCTTAGGGTCTATGTGAGGAAGAAACCTTTCTTGATTATTTAAGTCATTGCTATTTTAGGACTTACACACTACTAAACACAGTCCTCCTTCAAACGCAAAACTGCAGTACTTAGAACTTTAGGACTAAATTACAACAGAATCATTCAAAAGAATAAAAAAACTCAGAAGTATCTGCAATGATAATCAAAGGTCTTTATTTTCCATGTTAATTTCTTACAATCGCTTTGGAAAAATAGTCATATCTCCAAATGTACTGTCACCGAAGGAAGCTGTTAGGACCAAACATCATTCTGAGGGCTTATGGGAAAAAAAATTAATAAAAAACAAGTGTTTTATTCAGATTACTTTTTTTCACATACTTAGCACAAACATAAGGGAGAGTCCAAGGTCATAGTACACAAGGTCATTCTCCCTTAATAAGACATAAGGTCAGAAGAAATCATCTGATGAACAGAGATCCTAATTTAAGAAATCTTAAATCCCATTTGAGAGACAGTTGCCATAAATTATTATATGTTTTTCTGGGAATTGTTTTGAAGCATGTTTTTCTCTCCTTAATATTCTCTCACATATTTAAAGTTGTTTTAACAATCATTAAAATTTAGACACTCTGATTATCTTTTCTACTCTGAAGAGCTAACTATGCTCTATAAATAAATGCATCAATTTTTTTCTATTGCTACACTTCCAAAAAGCATCAGATAAGTGGAATTAACCTAGTGTCTATTAATCATTCAATACATTTTTGTTAGAAAGAATATATAGCATATGAAATTACAGGTCTTTCATGAGCTAAAGACAAACTTTACAACTCTCAAATAATATTTACAATGTAAACATCACAATGATCACATCAGAATGAAAGAAATCACAACATTCACAACACAATGTATTTCTTTTGGTTTTGCTATTGAAGTTGTTTTCTTGAATTACTTATGTAGAACTCAAAATGTAACGACTTTGTCTATTGATGTTTTCCTTCAAGAATTCTGAAAAAGAAAAAAAATAGTGCTTTATGCACAAAATAGTTGTATTTACAGCGTCTTAGTTTCACTCACTTGTCAACCTGTTTGGTAAACATCTTTTTGTCTTTGTCTTTTACTGACAAGGGATGATGGCTACCAGAATCAAGAGAGCACTTTCTAGAAGACTGATTGTCACAAAGGAACTGGAATGTGAAAGGTCTCTCTAACTGGTCATCAATAATTATGTATTTACACCTTTCACAAGTAGCTAACCCACAGGCTTTCCTGCTCAAAGAACCTGTCTGAAGCCACTTTTCCCCAAGAAACAAAGATGGGATCTCACATTTTACAAAGTCTGCTTATCATCTTTCTTAATTTGGTAGAGAAGGCTTCTTAATATTCATATTTTTTCAAGCAGTTGGATGTAAGCGGATTTCACCTTTAAGCAGAGGACTCTCAAATGTCTACAAGTAATAAAACATTGTTGGAGGAGATAGTTCCTCACTCCACACCTCTCTTAGAGACGAAGGGTAGTCAGTGGACAAAAGTAACTAATGGAACAGATAACGTTCAGATACCTTGTGACTTCTGAAAACCTTGTGACTTTTGAAAACCTTGGCTAACCATACTAGGAACTGAGATGAGATGACAAATTAACTTGAGCCTGCACGTGAGATTTATCTCCAGACCCTAGTGAGAACTGAAATACCTTCTGTTTCAAGTTTTATAAATAAAGTTTTATTGGAACCAGCCACTCCCATTCATTTTATGTATTATCTGTGGCTGTTGTGTGCAATAAAAGGGTTTAAGTAGTTGTAACAGAAGCCATCATAGCCTTTCAGAGAAAAAAAAAAAAAGCTAGCCATTAGTCTGGTGATGCATTGTCAAGTTTTATAAACAGATTTGCATGAGGTAATGTAAACAATGTTTCCATAATCTTGGGGCAATGTATTTTGTATCTATGGTTATATGAAGTAATTTTGATAGCCAGCCCAGCACTTTGCAATACAAAAATCTGTGCATGCTTTCTCCACTCAGAACATATTTACAGTTAATGCTACTGGGATTTTAGTGCTTAAATACAATTCACAGCTCAATGTGTGACTTTCATTGCAGTATGTTCACCGTATTTTAAAGGAAACAATTAGACCCAGAGTGTCTTGGTGTTTTAGGATCACGAGCCACTCTATAATTTGGTGATATTTCCCCACACTTAAATTAAATGAAGAGCTAACAGACAATCATAGGACTGACTGTTAATAAAAGCAGCCTAGTATAGTTCCCCAAAGGAAAGCAAGATTTTCTCCTGAGTGTGAATCAGGCTTCTCTGTTTTTCATCTCAATACAAGGACAGGAATAAGGCTGAATAAATTAGAAATACCAGTCTAATACCAAACTGCTCATGGCAAGTTGTCTCTTTTATGTGAACAGAACATTGTGAGAGTCATTTTTAGTTGTTTGCTGGGTTTGGCCCACTTTGGGTAGAGGCGCCCGTAGATGAGGCTCAGGGTAGAAACACTATTTAGTCCTGTGAGGTTTCTCACCAAGTGACTCCTCCCTACGTGTACGTTCTGCTGATAGCTGAAGGAATACAGTAAAAGCGCAAGACACACTCACCACTAATCCTTAGCATTGGGCCAGAAAGCTTTTTCATCATTTTTCTAGCTCTTCAGGGAAGTCAGGAGATTCTCCCTCAGTGCTGCAGATCAGAAAGAGGAAATGGCGCATGTTAACACTGTCACCGGAGAAAGGCTCCAGAAGAGCTGTGACCACATAATGTCTAGGTGATTCTTCTTGCTCTGTCCTGGCTATTGTTTGTGTTCTAAAACAATCATTTCTGAGAGTACTTATTACCCATGGATTTGTGCCTCAGCCTTCATATCTAAAATTATTAAATTAATGTCTTTTAATGAGTAAAGAACAATCTTGTCTGATCTTACACAAACAGAATTATCCATAATATTCACCATGTGCAAAAAAAGTAAAATAAATAAATAAAAAAGATAGTCGGGTGCCAGTGGGTCACGCCTGTAATCCTAGTGATTCAGGAGGCTGAGATCTGAGGATTGTGGTTCAAAGCCAGCCCAGGCAGAAAGTCTGTGAAACTCTTATCTCCAATAAACCACCAGAAAACCAGAAGTGACACTGTAGCTCAAGTGGTAGAGAGCTAGCCTTGAGCTGAAGAGCTGAGGGACAGCGCTCAGGCCCAGAGTTCAATCCCCACAACCAACAAAAACAAAAACAAACAAACAAACAAAAAAGATTACTTCCTGCACTTGCAGGGGGTGTTTGCTTATGTATGGAATTTAAATATACAAAATACTTTATGATTAAATTTGATAAGCATCTGAAGGGATCTGCACACATTTCTAAATTGCTAAAAGCCCTTTATATGCTTTTTAAAATCAACAGTTTTGATAACATGTTCCCAGAGTTAAAGGAGCCATCATTTTAACTCTGGTGCACAACAGCATCAACTGGAGTAGAGTCCTAAACAGCTACCAATCTCTAGATCTTACCCTCATAGGTACTGACTCCTGGCAACTTCCCTAGGTTAACGGCCAGGCATCAGTATCTAAAAAATTGTTCAAGGTCACCTAATGTAGCCCACAGCTGAGAATGACCACCTCACGCAAACAAGGAGTGTGTGTGCATGTGTGTGTGTGCGCACATGCATGCACACGTATGTGAGACAGAAAGGCAGGCAGACAGACAGAGGCCTCCATATGTAGCTTAACTTTTGAAGACTACTTGTCATTTCCTCATTGCAACTTCTCTGTCTTTACCTCCTCTTTCCATTCAGAATTGAGTTCAAGTATTTCTTCACAGCCATTTGTTTTCTAAGACGGGTGTAGTTGTCAGTGAATACAGCATCCGAGTGTCGTTTGATTAGTGCAGGGTCTTCTGAGATAGTACTGCTAAGAAATGTGAGAAAAACAGAAACCAAGGGCTTTAACAGGAAATGGCAAATACACCAAGATGTTCCAAGCCATTTTCTATAGAGTCTATTGGAATTCACTCATGGAGTTGTAAATGAATAGTACTTATATATGTCTGGTGTCAATGAACAAACTGTATTTCCTTCATCCATAGTAAAACTGATTTTTAAAAGGATGAATAACTTATCAACAAGGAAGATCAATTTGTAGATTGAGCAATGATAATGTAGCTGATAAAAGCAATGAATTCTCTTTACCTAACTCGTTTTCCAATAAGGGATTCAAGGTACTTTTTAGCAGAAAGTTGACCAAGGAGTCTGCTGAAGTCACTGGTGAAAACTCCATCAGCATGTCTGGTGTTTCTAAAACAAGGAAGGAAAGACAATTCTATTTTGTAAATAGTTTTCTAGAATATTACACTAGCTTACACAGTAACAAAAAATCAGCTTCTTATGAAAGCTGCCCATTAAAATATTGTGGAAAGCAAAGTTTTCTAATACTCTAACAAAGGACAGTTTCTAGTCATTTGTATCTGCATATATTTTGAATCTCTAGCCTTGGGCTTTGAAAAATTAAAGAAACAAGTTATTTAGAACTAGTTTTCCTTACTATGCCCTAGAGGATTCTTTTAAATTCATTTCTATAAAATGGTGGTGTAAGTATATAGTTTTCATATATCCATGGTGTCTTTTTCTGCTACCCAAATGGAGGTACAGATAATGAAAAAATACATTGACTGTCACAAATGAAGAAATATAGTGTATAGTTTATTTTTTTCTACCAAAATACTTATAGGAGAAAAATCTTTTAAGACAAAGAAGATTTTAGAGCCTATTCACTGCTTTTCCAAGAAAATAAGAAATCATTTATACTTTGTGCTTAGGTATTTGATCTATATTGAAAAGTTATTCTCGACAAGCATTTCTATGAATAAACAGCAGCAACTATCAGACACCTTTTGTTTACATAAAGGTGGGTCTGTTTCCTCAGTTCCTCTTCCATCGGGAAATAATATATTCTATAGTTTTATCAGAATTGTCCCAATCCGTGATGTCAAAATGATATGCAATAGAACGCAGATAAACCATGTGTTCATTATAGCTGGATATAAACTTTCTACACGAAAATCTCACATAGCTGTTACAGGTGATATAAAGCATCTTGAACAGAGCCATAAAATAGAGAAATAGAGTGTTGTGATCCAGTACTATCTCTGTGGTGAGATGAAACTAGTCCATGTATATCTCCAAAATATATGTTCTAAATGAAATAGAGCAGTAAAAGCAAACCCACCTGGACACATCATAATAAGGTGTGTCATTTTCAGCCAATGCATTTTGCAAGATGTCAGCATCTGCTTTTAATGAAACTTGGTCAGGCTCATTTCCTCCTTCAAATTGGACTCTGTCTTCCGCCCTGCAAGAAGGAGCACAGTAGAAGTATAATTCACTTCTTTCTCAGAAGCTGGTACTCATGGTTTTTTAACGATTTGAAATAAGATACCCAATACCATGGGAAATATCACTCCTCTACAATGTAAGAATTGGATAATGGCCTCTATGGTTAATGAAAATATCAAAAGTAAAGTTTTTATATTCTCATAGAGTAGAATCTATCAGCTCTTACAAGCTACATATACCAAACACAAATGCTACTTAACTTAGTCTTATCAAAGCATTAGATAAATATACTCTCTTGTATTCACTCCAATAAGAATATATTCACTTTGTAAAGTCAAACTTAATAGGTAGATAGATTTTTAAACAAAGTAATAATCTGGAAAGAATTGACTATTCAGTGTACACCCGACAGTGATTCATGTATGTGGTGATATTTCATATCAATTGTCCAAAATACCTTTCAAGAGCTGAATAGTAACTGCTTTTCTTCCCTCTAAAACCCTAAGCTTTGCTTCTAAGTTTTACTAGACATAATGCATTTCTCTGTATTGATAAAAATCCAAAGAATCGGAAGTGGCGCTGTAGCTCAAGTGGTAGAGTGCTTGCCTTGAGCTAAAGAGCTGAGGGACAGTGCCCAGGCCCAGAGTTCAAGCCCCATGACCAAACAAAAAAAAAAGTAAAAAAAAATCCAAAGAATCTGCCCATTTATGAGTAGGTACTCAAAACCAGTAAATTTTTGTGAGCCTTCTGGCTTATAATCTTATACATTAACACAACTTTAATAAGGGATAAACCATGCTATATTGTAAGACTAATAATTGTCTATCTATTTATCCATCTATCTCTATCGAACATATGACCCTGATGTAGATGCATGTACATCTTTAGTAAGGCACACTTTTAAAATTATACATGTGCCTATGATCAGCAGTAGGGTGAACTTGCAAGGATTCTTAGCTATTGGTCAGCTTTTGAGGTCCTTGTGTGGCAATGGTAGAGGTGAGGCCTGACAGTCAAAGCAGCCTTCAGCCTTCGTGTGATTGTTTGTGTGCTGTGATGCACCCATGCAGCGAGAAATGGTTCCCTTTCATTGTCAAGGTGAAATAGAAGTTGGCTTTAAACAAATTTCACAGCGAACGCCAACAGCTGAGCAACCACTCACCCTGTTGAGCAAAGAAACAGGAATGGGCAAATAAACAAATAAATGATCATTCACCCTTAGCTAGAGTGTTGTTTGTAAACTGGAAGGAAAACTCAAACTCATGTAGTTTTGATTTACTGTATACTTGTTTAACACACATCTATTCTACTGCAGTAAACATCTCTTAGAGCTGTGGTATGTTCTATGAATTAGAAAGACACAACAAACAGTAAAACTAAGGATTTCTGATTCCCAACAAGCACATTCTAAGGAAGTGTATATTTTGTATACCAAGGAACACTCAATTTTTGATACTGAAAAAGTGATTGTTTTTCCTAGCTCGATTTCTGACCATCATAAACTTATACATATTTCTCAAATAAACTATTATCTCATGACCATTTATTGACTGGTCTTAAATATGAACCAAAATGACATATTTTCCTACCAGAAACTGAACTGAACTGAAACTAGAGTGCAAAAAAAATCATTACTTATTTAGTTCTGATTTGAATGAAAGCCAATATCCCTTCTACCATGTTTGAGAATGGGATCTGATTGTCTTTCAAAAATAACTACTAATTCTGTCTCTCATGCCTTCAAGGTTAATTATAGGATTGGAAGAGTCAAGTTGCTTTAATGTTGGAAAAATGACTTGCTCAATACAGTCATAAAAAGACTGAAGTAAATAATACATCATTTTAAAACTTTCAGTGTCCAAAACAAAACACATAGGAAGTTCCCATTTAGCCCAGGGAATGTTCAAGTAGCTGACTGGAAGTCAACCATCTTTGTAAACCAGAAGGAAAAAGTAAGCTAATATAGTTCTAATGTATGGTTTTCTTAGTTGACATGAATCTATTTCCCTTCAGGTAAACTTACCTCAGAGCAGAAGGTGGTCCAAAAAGGGGCCAGGCCAATGTCTGAGAGAAGAAGACACTGAAAAGTGTCAGGAGCACCAGGAACTGGGGTTTGCTTCTGGCCTCCATTCCTGCGCCTTCACAGAGAGAAGCACGTCAGCTTTCCAAACCCATGTGTCACCAGCAGTGCAATTCTAAACATCTAGCATTTCTGAGTTAGGAAGAATAACTTTCATATTCAAGAAAAAGCTCATACTCAAGAAAAAGCTCAACTCCAATAGATAGGGTGACTTCCCCATCCACATTTTTCCTAGTGGCAGATGTTTGTATAAAAATTAGGATCCTTATTGTCTGCTGCCCTCGCTTGCCAGACACGCACTTGACCCGAGTGAATATTGGATGTCATGCTTCAGTTGTCCTGGAAATCATTTGGGAGATAATATTTCTATAAGAACTGTGGCATCCAAGTTTATTATCTTTTTGGGTAATGATAATAGCTTCAAGAAATGATTTTTTAACTTTAAATGTAGTGTCTGATTGCCATAAAATTTGAGTAGCTATTTAATTACTTTGCTACTTAGGTAAATTATGTATACATGCATGTGTAGTCAAGTGGATGCGTGTATGAATCTGATATGTAGATACACATCAGCATAAAAATGATTTTTCAGGAATATTTCTTTTTCATTCCTTCAGTAGTACTGGGAACTTTTTTCCTTAAGCCTGGGTTAAAACAACTTAACTCAATTAAGAATGAAAATGAATACCCCCAAATCACTGAACAGCACCTGTCACAGCAACAAATTGCACTGTAGTCAGAAAAACACATACTTAAAAAAACAAAGCTTGTGTTTCTCACATTTGCTCCACTTAGCACATTTCATTTCTAAATTGTTTCTAGATTTTTTTAAAAAAAGCAGGTGTTTTACTTCTTTTTGTTATGTTGCCTGTAGAAATGAAAGCATTTGAAACTTAATTCTTTAAGTTTTTTCTTTAATCCCTTAGATTTAGTTTCACTTAATCAACACATAAAATAGTTCTTTAAGTTGAGAACTTAACAACAAATATGCCAGGTCCTTCCATCAAAAACCTCTACACAAGCAAACAAAACCTACTTGAGTGTGTTATTTTTTTAAAATCAGACTTAGTAAAGGAGTCAGCAAGATAAAGAACCTTCCAACCATAATCAGTCAGAAAACCCATTTCTATGAAAGAAATTGATACATTTCTATTCTTACAAGGTGACTAGAGAAAGTTATCTTTTGCTATTGCAAAAGAGGAACATTGTACAATTCTTTTCAAGAGGGAGGAAAATTCAATATCTTCTGAGAAAAGTTCCAGATGCAGGAAAAGAAAAAGGAGAAAGGAAAAGTTTCTACCTACCTTGCAAAGTATGGTGTTCTGAAGAGTCTTGTCTTCTGAGGCGTGTTGGAGAGCTGTCCTGGGTGCTGAAGTCCTGCAAGGCCTGGACTGGCTCCACCAGTGCTCAGCCCCTGGTACTAGTGAAGGGTTGGCTGCTCTTGGCAGCTTTGGCTCTGCAGTCCACCCTGACCAGCATTTCAACGTCCCTCGTTTTATAGGACTGGCGTTTAGGGCTGAGCAATCACAAAGCTCCCTGAAAGACGTCACAGTCGTAATCTCATGGGATGAATAGGTCTTGAAGTTCAGATTAAATTGTCGTCATGTCTGATTTATATAAATTGATAGTGAGTAACTTTGAGATGTAAGATAAAAAGAGGAAAACCACTTTTAAAACAGAGGTATCAAATTAGTAGGAAATGCCTTAATAGTGAATTAGTTGCAGTGAATTTAGGGAAGAGTTGTCATGTGAAAGCTAGGGCTTAGGACTGCTTCTGAAAAGTAAGGACTGCATACAGAAACAGAGATGGAAACAAAACAAAAAAATCCTGTTCACAATGCTTAGGGTGTGGTATTCTCCTTTATTACAAAGCATCAGTTCTCCCATTTTATTCTTTTTTCTTTTGTACTACTGATGTAGACCTGACTTAGTCTTTCCTGAAATCTATCCTAATTTTAAAAGCTACCAGAAGTAAATGTTCACATTTCTTGTCAATACACTTCCTTTATGTAAAGCTAATCCTAGGGGGAAAAGGTTCAGCAAAGGTTTTCTCTGAGATAGTATAATATGGACAATCTTATATAAAACAATCACAGTATTGCTATTTCATGTGTGTATAAAATGTAATTACCAATTCATTTAACATACACAATATTAAATGGTCCTAAAATGATTTTTTGCCAGCATGCCCCCAGTGACTGCGATTGTCTTCCTCTTTAAAAATTATTCTTATTGTACATTGAATTATTTCGAATTTCCCATCCCCACTCCAATACACACATCCACATCAGTGTTTGTTCAAACATTCCTGACTCAATCACTTTGCAGATAGTTTGCCTCAAAGAATTATTTGAAAAACATTCAAACAGCACTTTGATAGTTCATTTCTATTTGTGAATTTTTAACTCCTAGCACACATTCAATGAGGATTTACGATAAAAATGCAGCTATCTGAAGAACTTCATAGGAAACAAGGCAAAATGCTATCCTTCCTTTTATTTATTTATTTAAAAAAATCTGGCATGTATTTTCTAAAATACATTCATTCCTAAAGAGAACACAACTCCAAAGCCTTCTTCCTTTTTTCTACTTTAAGAGTTTAGGATCTATTTGCTGCTTTCAGAGTTAGACTGATCCAGTAAAAGAATATCTTGCTGCACTTAATCATATTTTCTAATCCAGTTACAAGAAAAATTAAATGAATTAAATTTTAAAATGTCTGGAAATTTGTTCCCGAGTTGACAGCTCTGACTTAAGCCAGAGTTCCTGTGGCTTAATTCCAGGAAATCTTTTTTTTTAACTGATTATTACAAACTAAAGGTTGAAATGGTCCTCTTATGGAGTTGTTTCCCCTGAGCTCTTTGCCACCCAATTCTCAGAGCAGCAATTTTGTTTAAGAACAGCAACAGCAACGTAAGCTGATTAGAAGCCACAGACAAATCAATGCTGAAAGGGAAGCCAGAAGAAAAAAAAGACATAAAAGTTGATTATTACTTGGTCTAAGCAAGCATTAAGCATTCACCAAGAGTGACTGTTGTAGATTTCTCTAATAGTAAAGACAATTTCTACCATTACAATAATAAAACACAAAAGTAAAGATGCAAAATAGTTCAATTCTATTACCTCTGAATAAAAACCAAACAAATCAAAGACCTCCATTTTTTGGCACAAGTTGAACAAGGAAAGCAGAACCATTTCAAAATGGAATTATAGCACCACCTGCAGGTTCTAAATCTTAATTCACAGCTTTTATGGAATTGTATTTCTTGTTTTCAAAGAAATAGAGACTAGCTGGGTGCTGGTGGCTCACACCTGTAAACCTAGCTACTCAGGAGGCTAAGATCTGAGTATCGTAGAGAAAAGCCAGCCTAGGCAGGAAAGTCTGTGAGACTCTTATTGCCAATTAACCACCAGAAAATGGGAAGTGGTGCTGTGGCTCAAGTGGTAGAACTCTTTCCTTCAGCTAAAGAGCTCAGGGACAGTGCCCAGGCCCAGAGTTCAAGCCCCATGACTGACAAAAAATAGATAGATAGATAGATAGATAGATAGATAGATAGATAGATAGATAGATAGATAGATAGAGAAACTAAACCACATGCCATTTAACCGGCTGACTTGTGGGGGGAAGCTTCCAGAAAATAATTTTAAAACAAAAGACTATAGTTGAATTTATCCAAAATACTGAATTACCATAAGACTCAATAAATATTGTTGAAATCTGCTTAATCCCTACTTCACACATCTTTCTGGAATTTTCCCACACCTCCAACAAAATTTTATCTCCTCCAGTTTCTCAGCAAAGCATTGTTTGTAACAAGAAGAACTCTCTTTCATCTTCACCGGGAAAAGAAATCTATAAACAGGCAAACAAAAAGCTTCATCTACAAATTTAGGCAAACTGATGCCCAGAGTGTCTAAGCAAATTTCCCCAGTCACTCAAGTTTTTGTGTTTTTTGTTTATTGGCCAGTAGTAGGGCCTGAACTCGGCCTAGGCACTGTCCCTCAGCTCTTCAGCTCAAGGCTAGTGTTCTACCACTTGACCCACAGCACCACTTCTGGCTTTTTCTGCTTATGTGGTGCTGAGGTATTGAACCCAGGGCCTCATACATACAAGGCAAACACTCTACCACTGAGCCACCTTCTCAGCCCCACCCCAGTCACTCAAGTGGTGGGTAGTTAAGTGTAGTCAGAAGTGGGTGGAAGCTGCGCCTTCTAATCTTGATGTGGGAGGAGGCTTTCCAGCAGGAACGGAGGTTCTGCAGCTACCGCTGTCGTCGGTGCGGCTGCTGCTAACATGCCAGACAGAGCCGCAAAAACAGTCACATCTCCTCCTCCCTTCGTTCCACCAACAGAGTCAATGTCGGGGTCAGAGAACCCACATTCTCAGCCCAAATGTGCTCTGTGTAGAAAGGTGAGATGGAAGAGTTGAGGCTTATGCAGAATTTAGAGTCATCTTTGTGTTCTAACTGCTAAGAGCTGCTGTTCTAACTGCTAAGAGCTACCGTGGGGCTGCTAAGGAGGATGGGTCTCAGTTGTGCACACAGATGTGTGTGTGTTTGAATGAGAGAGAGAGAGAGAGAGAGAGAGAGAGAGAGAGAGAGTGTGGGGCTGGGGTCCTTATTGCTGGTAGGGAGGATGCGTCTCAGCTGTGCACACAGGTGTGTGTGTGTGTGTGTGTGTGTGTGTGTGTGTGTGTGTGAATGAGAGAGAGCATAGGCTTGGGCTGCCTAACTCACCGCCAGCCCTGCGCGTGCCTCTGTCCGTCTTGGAGGTGGCACTGTGCCCACAGGCCACTGGGCAAAGCCCTCTGCGTGCATGGCTCTCAAGGGAGAACGCCATCTGTATGTTGAAGTAGTTGAAAAATGAGGAGTAGCTGTGACACGTGGGAGTCGGAGGCCAGGCAGCCCTGAGCGCACCGACTGCGCTCAGGAGACGCGGAGAGGCTGGCCCGGTGCGCTCCGCCGCGCCCTGTGCGCCTGGCGAGACAGTGGAGCTGCAGCCAGCACTGCGCAAGGCCGTGCGCACCCAGAGCCGCCACTCCTGTGCTCTGGACT